ACAGCCACGGGATGACGCGCGGGACGCGGGCCTGACAGTGCGGCTCCGTAGGCTTCCAGAACCAGCCATGCCTGGCAATAAAACAAATGAATGGCGTCTAGTCCTCCTTGCACGGAGCGAGTCCGGAGGCCGAACTAGGCAGGGTGGCTGCTTTATCTAACTGAAACAGTTGGTAGAACTAGGCTGAGCTCTGTTGAAAAGCAAAGGGAGCTGCAGCCGTGGGTGGACTGTAAGTATGGGACACCCCGAAGAGTCAGTCACTCGTTTACACAGCACTGGTATAAATTAATTAGCTCTGTAAATGCTTTTCGTGCTGGCTAAATTAGAACCTGCTGGAAAGGGGTAGGTGCGTAAACGTGGTTTAAACGTTACTTATTTCTAAGGGGACTGTTTGGGAAACTTTTGGAAGCCCTCTGAGACAGGGCTTCAAAGGCCTCTCCAGTTTTGACGTTTAGTTTTCCTCACGCATTCGTTTTCTGTCGTTGCATTTGTGACCAGCTGATTTAGGACGAGCGGCTGAAGAGGGCCGTGGGGTTATGACACGACACTGCCCAGCACCGAGGCAGGGACCTGAGACCTGGAGATGCAACGAACGTCAGCCCCGTGCGCTGGCTGGCTGAACACAGGTTTTCCTCCCCAGCTTCTCTTTCCCTTTGCACGAGCTGGCTGTTTGCATGGCAAACCCTGCTCCCAGGACCATTGCCCTCCTCACGCTCGTACCATGCCCAGCGTGACGTGACCTGGGTTGAAGGGCTTCTCGTTTGCATGTGGAGCCAGAGCAGAGAACTTCAGCACCCCGTAACCAAACAGAATAAATCTCCTTACAGAAGACTCCAGTGCCCATAAAGCCTGAGGAGGAGAAAGCAGGAGGAAAGCCCAATGGTAACACACTGCTTGGAAATCAAAGAATTACCATTTAAGAGCATGTAACCCCCAAAAGGCATGAAGAGAGCCGGCAGCCAGGGCTGGATGGCGACAGCCCACGGACACGGTCTAGATGTTAGGCTGGGGGAACTGAACAGAACGGGATGAACTTTTATGAACTAGAAGCAGAAAGGACAAAAAATAACCTACTGGGAAAGCTCAATGCTCAAAGAGGTTGTGGCAATCGTTCTTCCACGAGCGTCCTCCTAAATCCAACAGGAACGATGCTGCTGCCCCAAGATTCAAAGCACAAAGACATCTCGCAATGGACAGACTGCCCCAAACTCCTGCACAGTCCCAAACCCGTGTCTGCTGAAACCTCCTGGCCAAAGCAAGCTAGGCCTTCCTGCCTTCCCCGCTGCCCTTATTTCAGGTAAGCCAACTGAGGCCAGGTGAGGAGTGAACGAAGCAAAAGGATAAAGCGTCTGTGATTTGGAAAAGACAAATAAAAGGTTAACTGAAAGCCACAGAGGGAGCATCAAACCACGTCACTGAATGAGTGTGGGCAGAGCAGCAGCAGGCAGCAGGACATCAAAGACCGCCTAACATCCTTTTTCTAAAACAAGTTTCGTCAATCAGTACTGGGAGGCAAGCTAATTGCAGGCAGTCAATGGTGAGGGAGAGAGAAGAGGCGTTCAGCAGAGAACACCAGCCTAATTAGAACAAATTGGGGCATCCTGGATCAAAATCACAAGAGCTGCAGAGCAGCCTTTGCAGGGCCCGGCAGGGCGGGAGGGGGCTCTGCAGGTCTCATCATCCCAGCGCTCCCCTCGCAGCCTTCCTCCACGCCTGGAGCGTTTTTCCTTGCCTCCCTTGACAGCGCCGACGAGGTCTGATAAAAACCTGCTGGAAAGGCAAAATGATCAATTCTGCATATAGACAGGAATTAACTCAGAGCCTGGGGACGGGGCAGTGACAAGTAATTATTTCTCGGCCTGTCTGGAGCTGGGCTCGTGCGGCGAGGCCGCTAGCTGGCCCTGCATCTGCAGCCGAGGAGGAACCACCAGCCTCGCAACGGCAAGAGGAGAAGCAGGAACATCTCGCGTCAGAAATGCAGTAATTCAATGAGTCACTTTTTAACGCGGTCCCGGGGACTGATGAACTGCACCCTTTTGGCAGGGGCACGGAGCTTTCTTCCAGGCTGATCTCTACCACAATTAAGCGAGTAATTTGCTGTCTGGCAGCGCCTTTCTTCAGGGTCTGAGGAGATTACTGTTTTGCCCTGTTCCAGGTGTCTCATTTTATGGCCTTGATTTTTAAGCTGGGAAATATTTCATTTGGAGTCCTGGCAAGAGGAGTGGAGAAGGGCCTGGAGGGGGACGGTGGCCCCAGGGTTGCCACCCCGTATTCTCCCTCTAAGCAGCATCGTTCCTGCCTTCCTGGCCTCAGGTGCGGAGGGAGCCCCAGGCTGCGAGAGCTCCCGCTCCACGCTCGGAAAGGGCTGTGCGCGGAAGCCGCTGTCCACAGGATGCTTTAGGATCCCTTCTGCGGGACTGGCAAAAGCTGATCATTCCTATCCGGGCTGCAGCGGGGTAATTTCTAACCTGCTCAGAAGAACCTGTTATGCTTGAGCCAATGTTAGCTGGAAAACCACTGAGGTGGGAACCCCCGAGATAATACTTAACACAGGTCAGACCAAAAACATGCTGTCAGACGTCATAGGGGGAACCAGAAATAAAAACCTGCCTATTTATCACTGGACAAATTCAGCAACTTCAGACACTCTCTGAAAACACGAAAGTAGACACGAAACAACGCATTCACGGTCCCTTTCCAACTAGAAAATTCTCTGCTACTTCCATTCCCAACTTCAAGCAACGTGAATTCAGCACCAGACTTAGATCAAGAAACATTCAGAGCAGCTATCCTCCCTTTGGGGAGTTGTGGGGTTTTTGTTTTCTCCAGTACTGACGTCGAGAAATAAATCACAATTTCAAGGATTTTGATTGTTTCTTCGAGGATCTTGCTTGAGGACCTGTTTTCAAAGGGGCTCTGCTTGTCTGCCAGAGCCGGGTGCCGGTGAGCCCTCCACCCGGCTCGCACACATCCCCTCCTCGCTAACGGGGAGAGAGAGCACAGATTGCAGCTGCAATAACATCACATCTCAGTAGTGCAGCGCAGGCGCTGGAGAGGCACCGAAAGGGACGGCAGACAGATGTCGGCTCGGTTCAGCTCCTCGCGCATGAAGCCCTGCAGCCCGCGTCCAGGCTGGGGCCGTCCTCCCCAGGCACCCCCCGGTGACCGCGGGCTCGCGAGGGCCCCGCAGGCCAAGCTGAAGGTCGGGTTGTCTGCTCGCGAGCTCGGCCTCCGTGCTGCCGGGAGCGAGGGGGCGGTCGAAGCCCTGGCTGGAACAGAAGGTCAAACAAAAGCAAACGCGCACAACCCACCTCGCCCCCTGCAAATACCCCAGTCCCCCCGCTCGGTGTCCCCGTCGCCCACCCGGGAGGGCCTGCTGCACCTGCAGCATCTCTGCCGTGGCCACCGGGCGCCTGTGACAGCTCAGGAAAAAGGCACCAGAAAGATGTAAGAAAAGCAATGCAGAAATATATACTTTATTTTAATTCAAAAATTTAAAATAGCTTTCAAATTCAGTAAAGTATGCCTGGACACAATGAAAAGCCTCATATACAGAGACAGATAAATTAAATTGTATATATTGCAGACAAGCCAAGTGTATGTATAGATTACATATTTACACTTCTATGTAAACCATATTTATACATTTTATTACATTTACAAAAAAAAGCTGATCTTCCACTACTGTTTACTACAATAATGAAAAAAAATTTACATTGTGTCTTTTTTAACTGTACAAACTTTTGCTTCATAAAAATATATCTCTGTACAAAAGAAGGATTTTTTCTTTTTTCCTTTTTTTTTCCTTTTTCTGTTTTTCTTTCTTTCTTTTTTTTTTTTTTTTTTTAAACATAATGCAAGTCTGCTGGGCACCAAAATGGAGAATGTCACATATAAGGTCCCAGCCAGCTTGCAAAAAAATGGAACAAGACCCCCACCCTCCATTTCCTTTGTTGTTTGGGCAACAGCGGAAAATAGTATATAATAGGTTGAAAGCAGCAAGTCTCGTTTAAGTAGAGCCTCCGTTCTCCCTACCTTGCTCTTAAAATATCTCCGCTGCATTTTACACACCTTGACATACGCGTCTCCTGCCTATTGCATCAGTTGAGTGGGATTCAGAAAGGTCTGAAAAGCAAATGCGGGAACTGTTACTGTTGAATAGGGTTATTTGTGTGCGTGTGTATGCGTGTGTACACGTACACGCGTGCACATCGCTCCTCTACGCTCAACACAACGGAGTGCCCTGCTGCTCGCCTGCCAGCGGCGCCGTACAGTTAGCTACTGGGAGAGATTTTTCTTTCGCTCAGGGACAGGAGGCTGGAAGGATTCAGCCTCTTCTGCTACTGTTGTGGGAAGGCTGCAAGTTGTTACGAGTTTATTGTGCTGAAACAAGAAGTGCCGGGATGTTGCAATAATTGGCATCAGGGCACGAGGGACGGCAAAGGGCACTGCCTTCAGGAGCTGCTACGCGAGGGAACCCGGTCCCTATGCTGTGTTACGGGGGCTTGACAAAGGAAAGGAAGAATGGGCTGTGAGGTCGGCCAAGGTCACAGACCACAGAACAATTTAGGTTGGAAGGGACCTGTAGGGGGTCCAGCATGGGCCAGGAGAGCAGACTTGGACCGCGCGGTCAGGAACCGGTTGCCCACTTGCAGCCAGAAGCGGAAGAACCGGGAGAACGCCCTGGCCTCGGTTCCAGCAGCGCGAACCGGAGGCAGCTCCCCGACCACACCGCAGCCGCCCGCCTGCCCGCCGTGCCCTGGCCCGCACGGCCCCGGCGGCCCGCTCCCACGCCGCATGGGCTCACGC